TAGTATATATATATATATATATATATATATATATATATATAGAGAGAGAGAGAGAGAGAGAGTGAGAGGGAGTTTACAAATAAAAAACTGCACTGAAGTTCCACATGATATATCTATAGATGCATGCAAATCCAATAATCAATGATGTTAAAGAAATATACAGACGGATCTGTAACTCTTCAATTACTCGTGAACTCAAAAAAGTCTAATTAGCACTACCTTTTGCGCAACTATCACTTCATGCATTAAGTATCCAAGTATTTAAGGTACCGCAGTCAATAAGACATTGTTTTCTTTTTCAGTTTGTAAACTTTGCCCAACCACTTCTAAAAGCTAGCCAAGGCAACTCCTCAACATGGTGAGTCAACTCAGTTTTGGCTGGTTTAGCCATCAGCCATCACCGACTCCAAACTTTTAACACACGCACACAAAAATCATTCACAGAGCCCTTCCACATGTAGAGAGGAATCAGCTGTGCGGTTATTCAAGGGCCACATGTGCAGAATATTGGCTACATATCTAAATGTTCAAACAGAAAGAAAGTGGCTACATCTGTAGCACAACTGAAATGTTTGCCATGGAAGGTCTAATTATTTATTCATTTGATTCAACTTGCTGGATTTGTTCAATGAATCAATGGTAAATAGTAAATGCATCCCCAACTGTTGAAACAACAGATCTTCCTCAATATTGAAGTCTCATTACTTTCAGTTCTTCTTACTGTGAAAAGAATTATTTTACTTGGAGAATAGAAGAAAACTCTGAGTATTACTCATTGCTTGAATCCAATTCTCTTTCATAGTCTGCAGTCCCACCCAGCCTTCCGTTGTGACTGAGTTACTATGCTACTTCTGCCTAGTGATTTCACATCTTCAGATCAACAAGCAGAGGCAGGTACTATGGTATAGGTAAAATAGGCATGGATACACTTCCATGAACAAAAAATTTATAAAACTCAATCAAAAGAAAGTAACTATGAGCAGATGGAACCAGATAATCATGGGTGTGTTCTATGTCAGGGATTGACACATCTTATTCAAGGAAACTTGATTTGAAAGTCATATGCATGTTCCCATGCAAAATGCCAACTCAAATCTACATATAGCAACTAAAATCATGTATCTTCCAAGCTGGTCTAAAAGAGAAAAGTTGTCCAATAAATATTCACAAGGTGCATAAAAAGCTCTATATACTCGATTCAATACAAAAGACTTTCCACAAGTGAAAAACACAAAGAATGAGGACTTGGAAAGTGGAGACTTTAAATAAGACCCAAGCCTTCAAATGTTTATTTATCCTAATAAATCAGTACTTTCTATACTTCCAACTTCAGGGTAAGAATGTTCCATGAAACAGATCTCTATGAGAGAAGAACTGAATGCCTTAAATTCCAGTGCTTGCGAACAGATTCACCATGCAGTCAAGACAACATAATTTTCTGTTGGGTTTTCATATGATAACGAAACAAGCGAAAGACAGATGATGAAGTTTTAGAGAAGAGATATGAAGGGTCATTGACAAAATCTGGTTTATAGAGTTCAGAAACTATGATACTCGATTCAACACTTCAAAGATCAAAGCAGAAAAAATGCACCCTCAACTCAAAGTATATAAATATCTCAGAGGACCTTCAAGGCTAAAACTAAAAAGAATCAATCACACTCACACTAAATTAACATCAACTATACCACCAAAAAACCTGTTAACAGATACTTACATTTCAAAAGCATACAATGACCTCTTATTCCTGATGGTATCCCCAAAAAAAAGAAAAAGAAAAAAAAAAGAACCAGATGAAGTTTCCTTGTGTCATTTTCTGAGGATATCTCACGAGAAAACAATAATAATTTGACCATAATCACCGAATTATGTTCACGGAATTTTTATATATATTTATATAAGGAAAAAGTTTATATAAGGTTGCAACCTTAAAATGTAGAATTACAGATGCACCTCAAAACTCCATCTGAAAATGTTATTTTAATGTTGAAAAAACCTCTAATTGATCATATCGACGACATCAAGATGTATGAATATGAAAAGAAAAAAAAAAATTTAGTCCCAAAAATAGTGCACTTGCAATACATTATCCAGACTGTCCATTTTCAATATTTTCAATTTATAGATCTACTTGATTTTAACCATTTTTTAAA